TTTTAGTCCCCACAAGATGAGTTAGTTTTTTAAGGCATTCACAATAGTTCTTCGGATGTGTGAACTTTCTTTGATTTCTTCCAATCCATTGGCATATGGTGTTTCCCTATATCTTTGCTGTCCTTAAGGAAAAGATAGAACTGCAGTTCTTAAGGTCTTATCTGAAATATCCTCACACAGTAAAGTGCAGGAACCTCAATTTATCTGTCCCAGGAAGATGAAGAGCTGAGCCAGCCCTGCTGGGATTAAAGCGATCTCGCAAATTTCTGCTATATAAAACATTTTTCCAGCGTCCTGAAATACGAAGCTAATATTCAAAACAAAATGGGTACCAGTACCTTGTGATATCAGATAAGTGCAGATATTTGATTTTATCTATTGCTGTCTTCCAATTTCCCACCTAAGGGCTCAATGAACAGCTTTTGTTTAACAGGAAATGGAAAACAGTTCATGTTGGTAATTGGCCCTGATGCTCTTGCTGAGTACAGTCCAGTTTTTGTTTTGTTTTTTTATAGGATGCCCATAAGAAATGTTCCAGAGATGAGCAGAGGCTCAGCATGATTTGATTTGCACTATTTATCAAGGGGAGGCAGAGCCAAATTTATCTTGTATATAACAAATAACTGCTGTCAGACCTCAGATAAAATGCCTGGATTGATGTTGATTGCTGAGAATAATTTTCTGAGAGAATAATTTTCTGAGAGAGAAAGTGATTGTCTTTGCATGAACATACTCTGTCCTTGCACTTTCAAAAGCTAGCAGACAACATTAACTTGTCTTGTATTGATGATATCTGCATGGTGTAGTTTGTCCACTGAACAACGCATGGCAACACCTTATCACACTCCTTAGATGGATTGTGAATCCTGTGTCAAATAATAAAAATCCTGAATTGAGATCCTAATGCCATTTCCAGTAGCGAGTATGGGTGTTCCGTATTATCAAACATGAGAGGATAAACCACTCATCTAGGTGGATATAGGTCAAGATATCTTAATATCAAAAAATGACACTGCATAATTTGTGCTATTGTCATCAATGATATAAATTTACCCTTCTGTAAATATGTTATGTGGTATGTCAGATGAGTGTTAATCTATAACATCAGATTCACAACAATGATAAATCCCTTTAACCTCTAGTTTTGACAAACTACCTATTTAAACCTTTTACTCCAAGTCAGAGTACATAGAAGAATAATGTATCAATATATATTTTAATTTTTAAAGTCAAGAACGCAAACATTAGTGAAAGAAAAATATATCAATGCCTGTTTATCCGTAACTCTTAACTCCTGAGTTGTTTATTCTATATGTTGAATGAGAAGGGGATTTTATTAAAAAAAAAAAAAAGTGGCTATATAATTAATAACTTTATAAGTTTACAGAGAGCAAATGAACTAATCTGTGGTCATAAATGTGCTTCTGTTTAAGTGTTTAATTTGTGCTATTCTTTTTTTTAAAAAATAGCACAAGTGTACAATGTGGACAAGTCTTTTTGTCCACGTTTTCTAATAGGGAGACGGGAATTAAAAAAAAAAAAAAATTGTACCGAACCAAACTTTCTCATGCTGCTAGGCCTGGCCTCATATACCGGGGATAAAATGAGAACCCAAATGAATTAGTGACTGTTGTCTCTGTATCAAGTAAAAGAGCGAAGGAAAAATTATGTCCAGGGACTGACAAATCTATTTAGGAACATGGTAAAAAGCTTATTTTCAGTGCTAAGAAGTATGACAATATGTCATTGAAAGTTCTCACTTTTCTGGAGGTCAGTGATAGATATCGCAGTCACGCGCTGTACTGTTAGTTCTCAAGTGGATATAGCAGGAAAGTACCATCAAACACATGTGTGGAAGTCATTGTCTCTTCCCATAGAGCAAGCAATGGCAGCAGGTTTCCACACCTCGGTTTAGGGATGCGCTGAAACTATTGGTGCAAATGAGTTAACCAATGTAGTAAATGAGAAATGAGATGTTACAGTAGCTAATTTGGCTTAATGATATGTTTGCATACAAACACTTCAGCTAGCAGTTTTTGCTTTAAGCTTTTTCAAGCAGTTCAACTGTATTTAACTACATTTGGATATAATGGTATCCTTTCTGTAAATTTAAAAAGCTATATCTAATTAAAATCATTACTGTATATTATTTTAAGAGTGGCTATTACAGACATGTTTATGAATACTTAATTCATTTTATAAACATATAGTGGTTGTTATATTTGAAATATCTAAGACCTTTTTCCATTAAGTACTTCATAACAACTAAAATGTTTGAAACTGTAACTGTGTAAAATTCTAGTTAAACTTATTTCTTGTTGTTCTTTAAAAAACAAAATAGCAAATACAACACAGCAAAGTAAACGTCTTCTTGAATCCGTATCTAACACTTAATTTGGAACTTCTGTCCTGACTTGATAAGCGTTTGTAAGCTAAAATTTTCTCTGATTAATTGATCTGATTTTGAATAGCCCCTTTCTAGCAAGCTAATGGAATATGTACATGATTAGACTCTTTATTTTGCACAGTTGAAATCAGAATCCTGATCAAATCAGGCTCAGATATACTTCACCTGTCTTCACTGGCATGGTTCACATGCTGCTATGGAAAATTACCAGTATTAATTAGGTTGCAAAGCTGTACTTGCTAGTGTCATGTAATTTGCTAAGTACCTAAAAAACACTCCAGTTCTAAGGAAGAAGTTGTCAGCTAGCTCTGACAAGTTCCTCCTTATGCCCTTGATAAGTGTAACCTTTAATGCTTGCTCTCATTTATAAACACAACTGTAGACTAAATAATCATTTTTTGTCTGCATTCTGGCAACCCCAAATGTTGTTTTGTTGCTAGTGGCCTGGGTAATAAGAGAGGATTGTTAAATCATTTAGAACCTAGCTAAATATCCAAAATGGAGTCCATCTAATCGAAAATATTTTCAAACTGTATTCCTTTGCCAGACTATTTTGGCATGAATTTTGGAAATCCTTACAGCCACCTAATACAATTTTATGTCCTTTTGAGGTGCCAGGCATTCAGATCTTGATAGCCTATGTTGCAGCAGGCAAAACAGCAAGTGTGGAAGTTAATTAGAAAGTGCTGATGTATTTATAAAAGTATTTCTTACGGTCATTTATACTGGGCAAAAGGAAGGTAAATGAGTGAAAATGTATTGTTTACAGCTCGTTCTTACTCTTGTTCTGGAATACAGGAATAGTTTGTCTGTTTTCTGAACTGCCTGTTGTCCAGCTTTCAGGAGCCTGGGGGATAATGAACCCAGTTAAGTCAAAACACAGCGATGTACTGACTTCCAGGGCCAGTGGAAAGTGCAATTCCCTAGTGAGCCGCTGCCTTCTGGCACTTCTGCTGGGCAGTCAACCCAAGAGATGATGTTGATCTTTTATCTGAAAGCAATCACTCTTAATGTGTGATCAGAGTACCACATCGCTCTTTAATCGTACCCCTGGTGGTTAATAGATGTGCTGGGTGTGCTTCATCTCACTGGTTGCTTTCTCGTTTATCTTTCTTTATCTTGTCTCAGCTACATGATTTCCTCTGAGCTGAGTCAGTTGTCGTCATCTTTATTTAGGTGCTGGTCTGTGATTGAAGCTACTACGGTACTGTGGAATAAAGAACAAAAACTAATTGACTGTGAAACTTCAGAGAAGAGCATTTGTTTTCCCTCCTTGTGCACCCAGAGCTTTGCAAATCATATTTTGTGCGAGGCAGAATCTGGCTTGTCTCATTCAAAGTAATATCCCAGTTGCTGCTTGTTGCATTACGGAGTTGTGAACACCTGTGTCAAACAGCTTGAAATGATTTATTGTATCTGTGGCAGTGTGTGTTGGTGCACAGTAAATAGCAACAGTGAAATATGTATGAAATGATGTCATATCTTCTCATTATTTTGGAACTGTGCAAAGGAAGTTTCAAACGGAGCGGGAGTTCCTTTGCATTGGCTTTAATAAGTATTTTCAAGAAAAACACAAAATTTCTAATTCTGGAAATAAAGCTTCACGACTGAGATGTGGACCTGAATTTGAACTGCTGAACTGAATCCAATTAATGTTATTTGTAAAATGCCAGCATGTTCTTCTGCATAATGTTAAAAAACAATATTGATATTGAGTAGTAAGTATGCATTTCTGAAATACAATGGCCAAGGTTTATGGATGTTTATAGTTCATTAACATAGGAGTGGAATCTTTCTGTTTCTTTGTTTTAGCATGTTATGTTCAGCACTTGAGTATCTGCATATTCAATATTTAAAAGTTTCTGAACAATTTACAAAGCTGTTCACATGGCAGAGAAAACTTTACCCTTGACTCTCAACCACAGGGTAATATGAGTGAAGAATGGGGAAAGAATTATCAGCCTATTGATAGTTCATTTTATCAAAAGGTTTTTTTTTTTTTTTTTTCCCCCCCCCCCCCCCACCAACCTGTAAATGAGAATACAGTTAAAACTGCTACAAGGAAGAGAATCTTGAGTGGGAAAGTGCTATCAATTATCTAGCCTTTTAAATCTTTTGATTACTTCTCCTTCTAAATTATGAAATTTAATGAAAAGAACCCATGAATGTGGTCATCAAGTTGAGTTTCTGAGATCCTTGATACTATTATTCAGTTTTTGTAATGATTTACTGCAAATGATGTTCAGTTATGCAGTTGACACTAGATAAGGATTAGGTGTTTTTTTATTGCCTTTTTATCTCAGCATATCCAATCTAAATTGCTTTCAGTTGCTAGATGGTTTGGAAGTTTTCTATGTGACTCCTGTTTCTGGGAAAGCATGTGTTGATGCAAGCTGATAGGCTTTCAGAATTTTGTGAGAGAGGATACTGTTGTGGCATGATACATCTATCTTATCCTTTTATTTGTGTCTTCGCTAGTGACTGGAAGATGTTATCCATGTATAAATAAAAGCAGTATGATAAAGTATTTGAAGTATCCCTTAATATTTCAGTAACTCTCAGTAACAAAACTGGGGTTTTTTCCCTCTCTTAGAACAAAAGCCTCAAAAACAAGCTCCTGTCAGGAAACAAGCTTTGTGGTATTCATGCAGAAGAGGTAAGTAGGGGTTGTCTTTATTTTAAATCTAGCATATCCAGAAAGAAGCTTGCTACAGTGGCTTTCATGCAGAGGCCCTGGCATAGATTGTATTACTATGCATGTACGATTAGTGTTCATAAAGCTCTTGCACCTCAACCCATTTCTGTGACTGCACCAGAGGTGACTTAGGTATTTTGGAAAATGAGCAGAAACTTCTAGTTTTGGACAAATACACTAAAGTTTGGTTATGAAAACCATACATAGCTTTGTAGATGTAATATATATATATATTATACTGTAATATATATAAATAATATAAATATAATATAAATTTGTAAAAGTGATTTTCTTTTCATGACCCCCCATGCTTAGAATAAGAGAAGAACCTTTTTAGAATAAGACAAAGTGCCTTTTTTCAACAGTTTAAAGAGTTGGGAAAGATTTATTATTGCTGATCCACAGAATGTTTCATTATTTGAAACTACTACTTAACTAGTTAAATGTCCGCGTAACTGTATTCGTGTGAGCAGTCACTTTGGCTACTCATCTTTTCATGAAAGTGGATTTTACTACATATTAACTTGATTTACTCCCTTTAGTCACCTTTTCTGCATATATAAGTCCTGTGAAGGTCATTTTACCTTGCTAGAATGAAGCAGAAACGTAACACCTTAATTATGAATGTTTTCATTTAAAAATGTGACTGAATGTGTTTCCTCAATAAAGACACTGTTTTTAAAGTCAGAAGTTACGAGTTCATAGATTAATTTTTAATTATATTAGCTGTTTACCCTAAATGAAGATCTACAACCACTTTCTCTGAGAAATCCTCAACAGTAAGAAATAATAACTTTTTTACTACCTTGTCTAAATCTGTTATCTTCTGATATCATCATTTTTTTTCAAACATGCCACAGTATTTGAATACAAATATATTTTCTTCCCTTGTTTACTCCTAAAAATTGTGAGTGTGTGTAACAGCTTGCTGTTTTCCACTCTTTTTAAAGTTTGTTTTTCTTAACTACATAACATCTTGAATGTTTGGTAATTAACTTGAAGATCTAGTCACTGATCATATCTACTTTAATATTTGCAACATAAATGTGCATAATTCTGAGGAAGAAGTCTAGAATTATTTTATACTCAGGGTGGCGTGACAAGCCTTGCTGTCAGAGAATTTCAGGAAACCAAATTCTGTAGTAACTAAACTCATGACAGCAGATTGTGAATGTATTTTTAAGCTTAAAAATTTCAGACTTTATGGATCATCCTGGCAAAAAACATGGCTTTTAAGTGGGTTGGTGCCATTAGAACAATTAAGGATGCTACAGAAGTATTCTTTTCTTTGCTATTTTCCAGAGTTGAGCAGAGTAGCCTGGAGTGCATTTGCTGCCCTTTAATTAAGTACTGTATGTAGAACGGACTAAGCATTATAACTATGTGAAATCAGTGTTCTTTTAATTAGTAGATCAAATATACTTTATGGATAGAATTGCCTAATAGTAAGCTCTGCTTTCATTCTGCTTTCTCATACTGTGTACTTCCTATTTTAGTGTGATTTGTAGTAGATGGGATCCCATACAATTTGCATGCCATGGTTTTCTTCTCAAAGAAGTCGGCACACTGGAGAGAGGAAGGCAGGGTGGTGCAAACCCAGGACTTGTCAGGGCACAGAAGGGGGCATATGCCTGGAAATAATTCCTGATCCTATAGTTTAGAGATAACTATCACGTTTTATCACGTTTTGATTTTAGCCTTCTGATTGTGCTAAAAGATGTGAGCTTTGTACAGCCTCTTCCTAGAAGCACAGGAAAAACCGCGACGCTACCAAATTTTATCACAAAAGAATTACAGGCAACGTGACTGCTTTGGTGTCACTTCTGTTACACATTGAGTATATTTAGGCCAGAAGACTTAATGTCATCACAGGTTTGTGATTTAGCAAATGATGTAACTACTTTTGGGGAGTTACTTCCTCAGTAAAACTAGCGGCACTGCTGGAGCTAAGAAAAAGAAACCCCTCCCCCCACACAATTTGCTGACTTGAATAATTAGCTTGCTCAGAGCAAGCTCGTCCATGTCATCTTAAGACACCCTCAGGGAAGGTGTGCCAGAAGTTCTGCTTGCTAACAAATGCAGCCAGCTTTGTGCAGCCAGCAGACCACCAGGAAAGAACTGGGCAGCTCCAGAGTGAATATTGATAGAATGTATAAAGCTAATGGGAAGTGAAATTAAATGAAATTATTTTTTAAAGAGTAAATTTAAAGATATTTAAAGTAAAAATGTAGTTGAACCAGAGCCTAAGCTGATATAAATCAGCATAACTATGCCTTTTTCAATGGGGGTGATCGCAAATTGAAGACCTAGCTCATTTGAACACCCTCTGGACTTCCTTGGTCATTACAAAACAGAACCTGTGCAACTCTATGGAAGTTTTTCCTCTATAAAACATGAATAAATGTCATGATAAGTTATGGTACAGCCACAATGCAGACAAATATAAAAAGACGACGACTCTGTATAGTGAAGGTGCTGCATTCAGTTGTGCATACATGGAAAATATTAATAGCATCTAGTGTCTGAAATGTGTAACCCAGATGACTATTCACAATAGTACTAGCTTATGTTCATGTTTTAGGTTATGGCCAGTCCAAGCTTCCATTGATACCTTTAACTAGTATAGACATGCTACCCTGGAAAAGCAATTGACTTTCATTTTGGTTTTTTTTCTGCATCTTAAAGCTGATTTTTTTTTCCTGCTGTTGTCAGAATGTATTTTCTTCTCCACCCTCTCCCCCACCCCCATTCTTAAAAGTAAATATTTTAACTGAAAAAATGCTGATTTTTATTATCCTCACTTTCAGTCAAAAAAGATCCAGGCTCAACTGAAAGAACTTCGTTATGGGAAAAAGGATTTGATTTTTAAGGTGAGTTTTACTTCACTATCGCTAGCTATGATATTAGAGTTGAGGTAATATTGAAGTGGTCCAGGAGTATGATAACTACCTTTATTACTGTAGTTTTAAGGAAGGATTTCCTTCTCACCGTACTGAATGAGTCAAAACACCAAAGACAAATAATACCGTAATGTGATTTCAGAAATGTCATCTATTTTAATGGCTTTTTTCACAAACTATTGTAACTGGGACAGTGCTTTTTATTAAATTGCTTTCTGGAGCAAAGAAGAGAAGACCCAAAGCCTAAAAAATTATCTTATATCTTTGTCTGTTTCTAAATAGACAGAAGTTAATGGAAAATATATAGTTTATGAACATTTATATTCACAGGCTCACATAAAGCAATGTCCTAGTTGCCTGCCAGTGACCAAAAAGTATTGCCCTATTTCATAGGTTCTGTACAATATTTTTCATTCTGGCTGAATGTAAAATAGAATATTTTACAGCTATTTCTTGTTTTTTTCCTTTGATTAGCAGTCCTCCATGGCAATGGCCGTTACTGGTGACACTTAAGCAAGGTGTTAGATTTGTGATAAACTTGAGCAATAGAATATTGCTTAGATCCCTGGATCTAAATTCCTATTAGATACTAAAATATCTTTACTAGAACTGAAGCTTCTAGAAAAAAATGGAAATGTCTTTTGGGTATATAGGCCAAATGAATAGCTGGTCTAGCTATTTAAAAAAAAAAAAAAGGCAGAATGTACAAACGCTTTGCTAAAGGACATCAAATCCCTGTTAACAGAGGGAGGAGTTAATCCCAGTTGAAGAGGGAGGAGCGGGACTCAGGTCACTTGACCTGAGGCTGCTGATTGAGTAGTGCTTTTATTCCCTGCATAAAGGTTGAGGATAAGTTGTCATCGTCAAAGTGACTAGAACTAAGATTTCTTTTAAGAGTAATTCATCTCAATATGAGGTCCAAGTTGCTTTCTGGAGATACTTAACTCTCTCTGCTTTCTCTCTGTTGTATGTAGAGTACTGGAAAGATGGGCTAACACAGGCAGTTTAAAACATATAGTATGAATCTTTTCCATACAGATGTTGATTCTAAGGTTTTTCAGGAACGTTTTTTTTTTCTCATCATCATAAGACTCAAACCAGGGGAATAGATTTAGAGTTAGCAGGTAGGCATATTATACATCTAGGCAGTTAAATTTTAATATCAGTCATTATTAGCCAAAATAACAAATTTCTCTTCAAAATCAATTTAGATGTAATTGAGAACAGAGGAAAAGATTATATTTTCTAAACCTCCTTGGTGTGGCTTGGTTTATTTAGTTGAAGTACAGTTACTCAGTACTGTTATCTACTTGTTATTATGCTAGTGTAGCAGTCCCGAAAAGGGACCTGAATTATTCGTGATCATGTAGTAATGCTTAACAAGAGAGCATTCCTACCCTAAGCTGACCACCTAAAAAACAGCTTACAGAAGAGGAGAGGAAAAGGGTGAAGTGAATAAATTGGCAAAGGCTATATGACAAGTCACTTACATATCTAAAGGGAAATCCTCCTTTTCTTGATTCCTAGTTCAGTAGCTTGTTTAGAGGATCTTTCCTCAAGAATGATAATTTAGTGGTTAAGGTATAGAGATGAAAATCCGGAATTGGTGGGAAAGGGGAGGGAATTAACTTGTGTTGTAATTGATGTGATGCTGATAGGGTGAACATGATTAGAAGTGGATATTATCTAACAGAATATGGATGTTTGCACCATAGATTCCATTTTTAATCTTTGGAGATTCAGTATTGCAGCTGGAATCAAGGAAATTCAACCTGTTCTAAAGAAGATGCCTGTATTTGGCCATATGAATTTTATCTTGAACTTCTTCATCTACACTGGATAGATATAGTTCTTGATTATATAGGCATGCTAGGGCCATCAGCCCAAGGGTAGAGCCCAAACTACGTAAGATAAATCCAGCTCCAAATGCACTTACCTGCAAAACAGGGAAAATGTTTAGGGAAATCATGAAGTAATGTAACTAAAAAAGCTTTAAGAGCCATGGATGGAAGATGTTAATGAATTGTTATGTGGATTGTGAAGTCCCACATATTGAGAAGTACAGGTTATTACTTATGCAAATAGTTGAAATAACTCTTGACTGTGTGCAGCTGTGTGTGTGATTGACTTCGTGATTTGCTATTTCGATACCTCCTTTATGTGTTGTCAGAAATGTGTTTGCAGGGTTTATTTGTCTGTCTTTTTCCTGACTGAAGTAAATAATTCTTGATTTATAAAGAAAAGAGAATACTGCATGTTATGCTGGCCTCCTAAATATTCATGTGAGATCTAGGAAATAGTAGGTTCAGTATGCTGTTTTTTATGTGTTTCAAGTCTGAAGTAAGACATACTGAACAGAATGGAAACCACTTGGTATGGAATAGAAACCTTTTTAAATATCTGATCTGAGAGAGGCTGCAAGATTTGGGCAAGAGCAGGTGGTATTTCATTTTATTTCTAGTTGCTTTGATACCAGCAACTAGAAAGATTTTGTGCTATTATTGCTGTGAAGGCTGTTCTGAGAAGTTCTAACTTTTTTCCATTAAAAGATCAAGATTGTGGATGGATAGTCTTCTGCCAGCACAGAGCATGAACAGTGTGCAGTGTCCTGGCTGCTAGTTACTACCATGTTTTACAACTTCTACCCTTTCACCATTGCACTTTTTCCTTACCCGTTAAACCTTAACTTAGCCTTTTTGAGTGCTTCGTTGAGAAGCTGAGGGTATTACATTCTCTATATAGCTGAGACTGTTTCAAGCTTCTCGTGACACTTCCACAGAAGGATGTAAACTTCAGCCTGTAGGACTTCAAAAGAGCATGCAGGAGTACTATAGTCTGTGTCCATTACAGTATTGCTTTCTCTGGTGAAATTAGTTGTCAAGATGTATATGATAATAGTAGTGGGTTTTTTAATGTAATCAACATCTACCAGAAACTAGTTCTCACTGAGCCTTAGCTTCAGTTAACTATTATTGTCAGTTAACTGAACTAACTTCAGTTAACTGTTATTCAGTTAACTATTATTTCTGTATGGACTAGAGCTTTGGGGAATAAGTGGGAGAGGAAGAGGAATGGGGAGGCGGGGAAAAAGACAGCTTTCTCCTTTAATACACCAGGCAACCGGTAAATTATGTCTACTTTTGACATCATTGTGTCACAGTAACTTATCAAGTGGTAGTAAATAAAACCGGAGTTTATTATATTTGGCATTTATATATCCTTCTTATATATTCAAAGTGTTTTATGACCTTATTGATTACTTATGTGGCACATATGTGGTATAATGCCATGCGACAGATAACTAGTGGGAGACACTTTGGTGTTGAGTGGTTTTGCTCAAGGCTACAGACATTGTCAGTGTGTCTGTTGTGATTAGAATTTAAGTTCCTGTGTCTTGGTCCAGTGTTCAGTCCCTTAACCACATACTGCATAGAAACCTTAAATAGTTGACAGAAGAGAAGAATAAAGAATAGTTAATAACAAATTTTCAATCAAGTTCTTTAATTTTACAGTTGCTTTTGCACAATGTATAACCTCAGGTAGGTACCTACGAACTCTGAATGATAATTATAATACCTGTGAGTACTAAGCAATATGATGTCATTAGTTCAGACTTGGGCTTGTCTTTTGCAACTATTTGCATAGACCTATATGAAAAAGAGAAGGCAGGTTAAAAATAATATTTCAGAAATGCAGTCAGAGCATGTGTCAAGAAAGTATCCCTGTCTGGGAAACACCTGAACTGATCTTTTGTATAAAGGACAGAAGTATCTGAAGACATAACTAAACCTATGATTATGGGTCTCATCTGAACATGAGGAAAAACTTCTTTCCTGTGAGGGTGACAGAGCACTGGAACAGGTTGCCCAGAGAGACTGTGGAGTCTCCTTCCCTGGAGAGATTCAAAACCCACCTGGATGCGATCCCGGGAAATATGCTCTAGAGGACCCTGCTTGAGCAGGGAGGTTGGTCTAGATGATCTCCAGAAGTCCCTTCCAACCTAAACCATTCTGTGATTCTGTCTGCCATTTATATTCAAAAGCACTTTCCAGATTTTTCAAATTACATAGTGCTACAGCAATTGGATGTGTGAAATTAAAACCATGCTTTTGATATGGTAAATAGACTCTAAGAAAGGCAAATTCTGTGAAGTTATTTTCAGATCATATTGACTGGATATGGTAAGTATTTATACCGTTCTTCCTCCTAAAGTAAAATTGATGCCACCATATGTGTTTTCCTCCTTATTAGGAGGAAAATTACATGCCACAGTAAACCTATTTCCTGGAGCTGCGAAACACCTATTTCTGTGACACAGACTGTGTCGTTCTGCATTCCCTACAGAGAAAGAGGTGTGAAGACATTACAGATTAAAAGACCTGACTTAGAAGAGAACTCATATGTTAATCAATAAAATTTAAATGACATTGTTATCTTGATTAAAAAATAGATCTGGTAATTTTAAATCTTTGATAACCTTTAATGGATTACCTTTTTATGCTCACACATGTACAAAGAAGCAGAAGTTTAAGTTTTTTCAGTATGGTTCTGCTAACTACTTGGATACAGCTGGTGGTCAGCTTTGGCCCAAATCCAGCCATTTCTCAAATACACCTTCGCTTCACCCATGATTTCCATCCTTTTATATTAATATTGCTATCAACTGCAGAATTCAACTGGCTGTCCATGTTTGAAAAATGAGTCTGCTATAACACGTTTTAAAGGATTCTTCATAATGTTTAAAGAACCATAAAACTCTTTTTTTCTTAAAAAATGCTCTCCAAGAAAGCTACACTATTTTCCTTAAGCTTTATTTACATATTAATTTATTCAGCACAAAAAAAAGGGCTCTTATTTTTTATTGCTTTTACATCGCCCTGTGATGCTAATCTCCAATGTAATCTCTTTAGCTCAATGCTTAAAGAAAATAAGAGGAAGCTGAGCACAGGTGCATACAGGGCTGTCATATC